AGCGCTCATTTTTCAAAACTGGCTCCAACTTGGAGCAAGTTTACAAATCAGCTCGCTCCATCTTACACAAGCTATGTAAGGACAATCTAGCAACTGGGAATCACGGGATACTGTCTCACGATCATTTCTATGTGCATTATGCATCTTATTCTCGTATAGTTGGCCTGAAAAAGAGAAAAAACTGAAAAATACGTAAAATTGTAACTTATTTCAAGATTTTTTGCAAAAAGTCATTTCAAGTCAAAACTATAAGAGAAATTTGAAGTTTGAGTAAAAATATCGATGAATTAGATCATGTTCACTAAATCAGAACAGATTATGCATTGCATTTCCGTTTTATATAAACGCACCGCTCATTTTTCAAAACTGGCTCCAACTTGGAGCCAGTTTACAAATCAGCTCGCTCCATCTTACACAAGCTATGTAGGGACAATCTAGCAACTGGGAATCACGGGATACTGTCTCACGATCATTTCTATGTGCATTATGCATCTTTTTCTCGTATAATTTGCATGAAAATGAGAAAAAACTGAAAAATACGTAAAATTGTAACATATTTCAAGATTTTTTGCAAAAAGTCATTTCAAGCTAAAACTATGAGAGAAAATTCATTTCTAAGAAAAAATATCGATGAATTAGATCACGTTCACTAAATCAGAATAGATTATGCATTGCATTTCCGTTTAATAAAAACGCACCGCTCATTTTTCAAAACTGGCTCCAACTTGGAGCCAGTTTACAAATCAGCTCGCTCTATCTTACACAAGCTATGTAGGGACAATCTAGCAACTGGGAATCATGGGATACTGTCTCACAATCATTTCTATGTGCATTATGCATCTTATTCTCGCATAATTTGCATGAAAATGAGAAAAAACTGAAAAATACGTAAAATTATTACATATTTCAAAATTTTTTGGAAAAAGTCATTTCAAGCCAAAACTATGACAGTACATTGAATTCTAAGCACAGATATCGATGAATAAGATCACGTTCATTAAATCAGAATAGATTATGCATTGCATTTCCGTTTAATAAAAACGAACCGCTCACTTTTTAAAACTGGCTCCAACTTGGAGCCAGTTTGCAAATCAGCTCGCCCCATTTGACAAATGCTATGTAGGTACAATCTGGTAACTGGGAATCACGAAATACTATCTCACGATTATTTTTATGTGCATTATGCATGTTATTCTCGTATAATTTGCATGGAAATGAGAAAAAACTGAAAAATACATACAATTTTTCAGTCTTTTCTCATTTCCAGGCCAATTATACGAGAATAAGATGCATAATGCACATAGAAATGATCGTGAGAAAGTATCCCGTGATTCCCAGTTGCTAGATTGTCCCTACATAGCTTGTGTAGGATGGAGCGAGCTGATTTGTAAACTGGCTCCAAGTTGGAGCCAGTTTTGAAAAATGAGCGGTGCGTTTTTATTAAACGGAAATGCAATGCATAATCTGTTCTGATTTAGTGAACGTGACCTAATTCATCGATATTTTTACTTAGAAATGAATTTTCTCTCATAGTTTTGGCTTGAAATGACTTTTTGCAAAAAATGTTGAAATAAGTTACAAGTTTACGTATTTTTCAGTTTTATCTCATTTTCAGGCCAATTATACGAGAATAAGATGCATAATGCACATAGAAATGATCGTGAGACAGTATCCCGTGATTCCCAGTTGCTAGATTGTCCCTACATAGCTTGTGTAAGATGGAGCGAGCTGATTTGTAAACTGGCTCCAAGTTGGAGCCAGTTTTGAAAAATGAGCGGTGCGTTTTTATTAAACGGAAATGCAATGCATAATCCGTTCTGATTCAGTGAACGTACTCTAATTCATCGATATTTTTACTTAGAAATGAATTTTCTCTCATAGTTTTGGCTTGAAATGACTTTTTGCAAAAAAACTTGAAATAAGTTACAATTTTACGTATTTTTCAGTTTTTTCTCATTTTCAGGCCAATTATACGAGAATAAGATGCATAATGCACATAG